AGCGTTGGACGTTTTCGATGGCCGATGCTCAGTCGGCGCTGCGCAGCGCTGCGACAATCCTATTGGCTACAAATGTGACGTCATTCGTATATTAGGCGAGCGGGATTTACAAAAATGCGCAGTCTATTTACGCAAATATCTCGCTTATTAGTTGGTTTCATGAATTCCCGTTTGTACCATTGAATTCTACGCGAAATTTTGATGCAGATTCATGTGCTTAGAGCCTCCAGTTCTTACCCTGTCTAGAGGCTCATTGCATCTTTAAAATTCTAAAGGTCAAAATCCCGAAATCACATTTTCAGGTTAACATTTTTGTTTTCTTTTAGTTTTTGAGCTGCAAAAATTTCTTTTCAACAAAGAATTCACAAAGTACTCAATTTTTTATTTGAACCAAAACCAGTTTTTTAAATTTTTCGTCTCTTTCCGAATCCAACGAGTGGTCCACTAGGCTGGGGTACCAAAGGATTCAAGAGTTATGGACGATTCAAGTTTCCGCTCCTTGTGCGCCGACCAATTTTCGAGCGCCAAAGTATGATTCTAAAGCCGGATTTGCAAATTAATAAATCAGATTAAATGTTCAAACCGTGCATAATACATTTTTAGGGACTCTTGAGGGTTACCGCTGAGTTCAAAAATTACAGGTGCTACCAAAAATACTTTTTTTCCGTGGCATTACTTAAGAGGCCCACCGAGTGCCGGCCGACCGGCCGCTCAGAGGGCCTCTAAAGCCGGGATTTCCTCCAAATGCTCATCGGCGCGGGCGGTAGCGCCCAACGCCAATTGTCATACGAACCCGCCCTTATTTTTGCCAGGCGTCGACGCCTGGCGAAAGTAACTTTTTACACAGGCCCTTGCGAGAATTGGCGTTGGGCGCTACCGACCCGAGCTGATAAGCATTTGGAGGAAATCCCGGCTTAAAGAAGCGCAACGGAAAAAAGTGAATTTTTGGAAGTACCTGTAAATTTTGGATTCGGCGACCCTCACGAGTCCCTAAAAATGCATTTTGCACGGTTTGAACATTTAATCTAATTTATTAACACCCAAATCCGGCTTTGTAACCATATTTCGGCGCTCGAAAATCGGTCCGCGTGGAGCGGAAACTTCAATAACTCTCGAACCCTCCGGTTCCCCAGCTTAATGGACCACTTGTTGGATACGGGAAAAGACGAACATTTTAAAGAACTAGTTTTGGTTCAAAGCAAAAATTGAGTACTTTGTGAATTCTTCGTTTAAAAGAAATTTTCTCGGCTCCAAAACTGAAAGAAAGCAAATATGTTAACTAGAAAATGTGATTTCGGGATTTTGACCTTTGGAATCTTAAGATATGCAATTTTAGACGCTTTTTCGTTCAAACCGGACCTCTATGTCTTTCTTTGTTCGGGTGATATTGAGGTTCATAAGTTTTGACTTCCAACCCCCCCTAGGGTGGGACTTATTTTCTTCAATTGACAATACCAAGTGTAGCACATTCTTGAATGGTTCTATGTGATAAAAAAACGCGGTAGCCAAGAGAATTTTGGGAAAAAAAAATTTCATCCCGGTGAACACAGAGCCTAAACATCGAGATTTTTCAGTTTTTTTTTTTGGCAGTTTCGCCGAATATTTCTGATACTTTTGCCAGCAACACGGATTAGACGCTAGATGTCCAAAAATTGGTAGGTACAAACCTAGCATTTACCTTGCAGATAGAGGGAAAATTTTTGTTTTTCTCCTGGGCCACTCTTACTTCGCTTGGTAATGCCGAAACTCTCCGCTCAGAAGCTCTAAAAATCTAAATTTCGCCGTTTTTTAACATATAATGAACTTTTTGAGCAACCCTTAATGGCTGTAAAAATCCGAAAATTTGCGGAAAGCAAGTCCATACCATCAGTATGGAAGGGCAAATGTCAGAAAACTCCTAGGTCTTTTATTTTCGGCCAAGCTGTGCCCACGATGGTGGAAAACCTGTCAAAAATAGCTCAATTTTAACAGTTTTTTCGCGTTCGAAAATTTATTGGACATCCTGTAATGACAATGAAGGTCCGGAAATTTAAGGACATAAGTTCATGCTGTTTGTATGGAATAAAAAATTTTACTTGCTTCCTTCGTCTTATATTCTTCGTCCTGCGATCCCGAAATGGCAGCGAAAACGTCAGAAATGCCTCAACTTGGCCGTTTTTGGAGAATTTTTATGAACACCTTGTGGTGGCAGTGGAGGTCCGAGAATTTGTGCAAAGTAAGTTCACACCCTCCGTAAGGAATAAAATAATCTACTTGGTTCCTATGTCTTACATTCCTCGTTGTGCGGTGCCTGCAATCACTTCGAAAACGTCAAAAATACCATTCTTCGGCCGTTTCTTCAATGGTGAAATTTATTAGACACCCTGTAATGATACTGGAGGTTCGAAAATTGGTGAAAAGCAACCATACTGATGGTGCAGACCACCGGTACGGAAGGAAAAATTTTAAAAGATCCATAAATGTTTGTTTGTCGCATGGTGCCTTCATATACACAAAAATCTTGAAAAATACCTCCACTTTGACCGGTCTATCGCTATCAAAATTTAATAGACACCCTGTAATGACGGTGGAGGTCGAAAACTTTGCTGAAAGTAAGTTCATTCCATCTTCATGCAATGAAAAATTCTACTTCGTTCCTATGCTATGCATTCCTCGTTGTGCGAAGCCTGCAAGCACATCGAAAACGTCAAATATACCTGAATTCGGCCAAATTTTATTCCACATTATTTTTGCAGACACCCTGAACTGACAGCGGAGGTCTGAAACTATGTAAGAAGCTAGTATTGAAAGAAAGAAACTGATAAATTTAGGTATTTTTCGCCTCACTCCAGGGCGTCTAGCGACAACAATAAAAAAATTTTCGCGCGTGAAATTTTTTTGGCACCCTGTTTTGACACCAGCGACTCTTATAAGTGCCAAGCAAATATAGGTTGTACATCAGAACGGAACGGCAATCGGAACTGGTAGTATGCACCACCAGTATGGTTGCTTATCACCATTTTTTGAACCTCCAGTATCATTACAGGGTGTCTAATAAATTTCACCATTGAAGAAACGGCCGAAGAATGGTATTTTTGACGTTTTCGAAGTGATTGCAGGCACCGCACAACGAGGAATGTAAGACATAGGAACCAAGTAGATTATTTTATTCCTTACGGAGGGTGTGAACTTACTTTGCACAAATTCTCGGACCTCCACTGCCACCACAAGGTGTTCATAAAAATTCTCCAAAAACGGCCAAGTTGAGGCATTTCTGACGTTTTCGCTGCCATTTCGGGATCGCAGGACGAAGAATATAAGACGAAGGAAGCAAGTAAAATATTTTATTCCGTACAAACAGCATGAAATTACTTTCCACAAATTTCCGGACCTTCATTGTCATTACAGGATGTCCAATAAATTTTCGAACGCGAAAAAACTGTTAAAATTGAGCTATTTTTGACGGGTTTTCCACCATCGTGGGCACAGCTTGGCCGAAAATAAAAGACCTAGGAGTTTTCTGACATTTGCCCTTCCATACTGATGGTATGGACTTGCTTTCCGCAAATTTTCGGATTTTTACAGCCATTAAGGGTTGCTCAAAAAGTTCATTATACGTTAAAAAACGGCGAAATTTAGATTTTTAGAGCTTCTGAGCGGAGAGTTTCGGCATTACCAAGCGAAGTAAGAGTGACCCAGGAGAAAAACAAAAATTTTCCCTCTATCTGCAAGGTAAATGCTAGGTTTGTACCTACCAATTTTTGGACATCTAGCGTCTAATCCGTGTTGCTGGCAAAAATATCAGAAATATTCGGCGAAACTGCCAAAAAAAAAAACTGAAAAATCTTGATGTTTAGGGTCTGTGCGCGCCTGGTTAAACATTTTTTTTCTCAACATTTTCTTGGCTACCCCATTTATTTATCAGATAGATCAATTTAAGACCGTGCAACATTTGGTTTTGCCGATTTAAAAAAAATAAGTCCCACCCTCACCCCCCCCCCCAA